CTGTTGTAAATTTTAAAAGTTTTTCTTTTTAAATTTCGTATTCACTAGCTTAAATTGTGACGAAAAAAATATTAAATAAAGTAAATATTGTTCTCACTTTTATTCCCCTCCCTCCAAATTCAATCTCTAAAATTCTAGAAGCTTGCCAAAGTCATGTTCCAACACTTAATTGGGTCACAACGTGCTGAGAAACAAGACAACCAAATCCCATTATATAAACCAAACACACTTCCAAATTTCTATACTCAAATCAACTTTCATACAATACCTCATCTTCTAATTCTCTCTATAATAATTTTTTTCCATGGCTACTTCCAATGACAACAACAATGAAGATTTCACTCAAATTGATTGTTGGTACAGAATCTATAAAGATGGTCGAGTCGAACGTCTCTATGACACAATTGGCATAGCATACGTGCCCCCATCACTTGAAGATCCAACCACTGGTGTCTCTTCAAAAGATGTTACAATTTCACCGCATGTTTCTGCTAGACTTTACCTTCCAAAAAACACAAACAATTCTACCCAAAAACTTCCCATTATAGTGTATTACCATGGTGGTGCACTAGTTCTTGGATCCGCTTTTTTTAACTCGTACCATAATTATCTCAATGTCTTGGTTTCTGAATCCAACGCAATCGCTATTTCAGTAGAGTATCGGTTAGCCCCTGAACATGACGTGACCACAATTTACGAAGATTCTTGGACTGCACTTCAATGGGTCGCGTCACACGCTAATGAAAAAAAATTCACTAGAGATAACGAAGACCCATGGATAAAAAACTACGGAGATTTTAGTAGATTGACTATAATTGGAGACAGTGCTGGTGGGAATATAGTTTAGCATATGGCGATGAGAGCAGGAAGAGAAGGTGGTATTAATGAAAAGGTAGCTATTGATGGTTCGATTCTTGTTTGTCCTTACTTTTTGGTTCCAATTGAGAATATTGAAGAAAGTGGAGCGTACAAAAATTGGATTATTATTAGTTCACCATCAGAAGCTGGGCTACATAGTCCATTGATTAATCCACTTGCTGAGAATGCTCCTAGTTTGTCTCAGTTGGGTTGTTCTAGGATGTTGTTGTGTTTTACGGATAAAGATGTGTATATTCCAAAAGAAATTGGGATTCGTTTCGTTGAAGGCGTAAAGAAAAGTGGTTGGAAAGGGGATTTGGAGTTTATTGTAGTTGAAGATGAAGTTCATTGCTTTCAACTAAATAATCCTAATACAGAGAAATCTCAAGATTTGATCAAGAGTTTTGCTTTTTTTATCCGACTTGAGTAATTTTAAATATTACATTAAATATTAGTGGATTATATGTAGCTCAGCTTCTTCTGATGGTGAGCTAATAATAATTCAATTCTTGTACGCTCCACTTTGTTCAATGTTTTCAATTGGAACCAAAAAGTAAGGACTGACAAAAATCTGCATATAATTATTGCAATTAGTGGCATACACCTATTTTTGGAGGGGTTACTCTTTTTATGGAGTTTCCCCCTTAACAAAAAAAAAAACAAACATCCTTGTTGTTTCAATAATTCTCTTATCTTTATTTTTGCTATGATGGAATGTCATTTTCGATTGTCTTATCGTTATAAAGTGAAGTAATAAATGCAATGCAAGTATAATATTATTTTATATTATGTTGATTTCATATAGTATCATGCAAGAATATATATATATATATATATATATATATATATATATATATATATATATATATATATATTATTTTAATACGGGATAAAATATGAAATAAAAATATATAAAAATTAATACTATAAACTAAAACTATCAAATAGAGTAACAAATTTATCCTTCATGTAGTAATTAATATTTTATTTTTCCAAATAGATAAAAAAAAACTTTAAAATGTACTAGATGAGATAAAAATTTGTGCTAGCACAGGCCCAAACACTATGTTAATTCATAAAATTGTATGATTTACCAATTTTTGTCATTGAAAGAAGTATTGAAACACTTCTAAATTTGGCACAAATTATTAATTTCGTGTTCATAAACTATAGACAACCTTAAGAAACACTGTTTTACTTGAAAGAAACACTCTTTTACACTAACTAAATTTAAATAGACCTCTGCCATTTGACAAGAATTTAGGAATGTGTTTCACTAATATTGTAAGATGAATAGTTTATTTAAGTTCAATTAATCAAATAAAAAGATATTTTTAAGACTGCCAATAATTCAAGATTGAAACTAATAATTTGCGAGTTTAAAATTGTCGTCAATACTTCACTCTAAAATTATTGATAGTTTCAAAATGATCTAAATAAAATTATCAAAATTTAGAATGTTCTTTAAATATTCTCCTAAATCTATAATACTCCATATGGCCACAACTGGAATAAGTTGGATCCAAATATAGAGTGTTTCAAATTGTTGCTCTCATCCTGTTTAATTATTCTATGATAATAATCATATAATCTACCACAACGCCATTCCAAAATTTAAAAGAAAAAAAATTCTAGAACTTTGTAGAGTTTCTTCATTTAATTATGCTTATGTGACATGAAGACTAAATAAATACCGCTGCATTTTTTTTTTGCAGATTGAGATTGGATTATAATTTATCAAATAACTGGTCGGGCATGCAACTTCAAGCAAGTGAAATGAAAATTATGATAGGGTGAATTAAAAAGAAGTACCAGAAGCATTTCAAAAAGGAGATTGTTGGGCAGCAATTGTTTACCATACTTGGAAAAGTTAGAAATTAGACTACTTTCAAACATTAAAGTGTGCAAGCTGACAATTTTAACAATGATAAAGCACTACAGAAAAAAGAGTCAATTTGCGGGAGCTAAAATTACAAATAACGAGATTTAGAACCCAACAATTTGCTGTTACAAGGGTTTCAAAATTTCCTGCAGCAACCACACAATAGATAAATAGTAGGAGTTCTAACCACAACAATATTTTGTTGGGCAAATAATTTTATTTCATTTTGTGGGAGTTTATACCTCAAGAATTAATTTTTAGTATTTCATTTTATTTTATTTTGGTCATAACCTCCACAATATTTTTGATGAAATTTTAATATTTAATTCGCATTGTAGTTTATATAAAACTAAGCTACAACTATACTTCAAGCTAATTTTGTAGTAATTAAATCAATACATTCATAATTAAATAAATAAAATATTTCACGAAATAAAAAGTACAAAGGATTAACTAAATCATGAAAAAGTTAACATAAATTAATGTCAAGGGTCATTAAATTTACAATACACTTTCTTTAAACCAAAAATAAATATATAAACAGAAAAATTTGATGCGTTGTATAGTTCTAAAAATCACAGTCCTATGCCATCGAACTTCTCTTCTGAGTATATGAGTCAATAGTCCTCCATGTATGCATCTGCAAAACACACACGTTGATAGCAAATTAAACATTTATGTAACACTAAACATTTTGACATATTGTATAGAAGTTTATGGCATGTGACTGCATACTAATAGTCAAAACAATGCCATCTTTTTATCAGTAAAATAGTGTTAATCAATTGAAAAATACACAGAACATGAGAAATCAATGTTGAAAATTGAACATGAACTCCTAACCTTATAAATCATTTTATTAAGAGTAGAAGGAAAATTATAAAATTAAGTTCTTTTTAATTATCAAAAAGTATATTTTCTGGAAAAAAATTGCACCACCTAAATAAAAAAGAGGAATTATTTTTATGGACTAATTCTCCATTGAAAAAAAAGAAGATTGATTTATTGTTCCACTACATGATGGCTTTGATTATCACACATGGGACTTGGGAGGCATGCCTTTTGTCACCAACTTTGTAAGCCAAGAAGTAAAAGATATTATAGAATATAGATAGTTGATTTTGGACTTTATTTATCTAGTTCCCACTAATTTGACAATATATATTATCTCATCGTGGTCATGGCTACGTGGCCAGATGAGCAGTAAAAATAAAAATAGTGTTTGGATTAAGGGAAAAAAACTAGTAAAAGATTAGTTACCTGCTATAGAAGGTTAATGTTTTCTGATGGTGTAATAAAAAATTATAAAACTTAAACTCTACGTATAGAGGTTAGGAACCTTTTCTTTTCTTCAACTTTTCTTTTGAATTTTGATGTATGATTTCTAGAAGGTTGTTGATGATTCAAATGGCTATTCAAATTTGAAATTTAAATACTTATTTATTTTAGGCTAATTAAGAAGATTTAACATTTTATATGTGTTACAAGTTAATTTTTACTTTATTTAAATAAGAGTATAATTTTCTCATAGATTGTTGTATATATGACTTCACCACTGATTTGAGGATTTAAATTTTCTTAATGAAGGTTCTTCCCTTTAATTTCCTCCTAGTGCTCAGTCCAACATCTAGAAAATCATTGAAATTGTTTAGGATCATCTTTAGACCAAATGTAACATGTTAGTATCAAAGTCTCCAAATATATAACTTTTTTTTCCTTTTACTTACTTTGTCCCGTATTAGCTGATTATCTTATAAAAAATGTGTTAATTCATCATCTTACTACATAAAAAAAATATTAATTAATTCTTTTTATATCAACCTTGCAATTAATTCTTTTAAAAAATATTCACATTTGTTTGTATAATTCCCAAGAAGCTTTTTAAGGAGTACTGAAATAAAAAATTATTATCTTCTTATTTATAATTTCTTAAAAACCGTGCAAAATAGAAAGTGATCAATTAATATGAGACGGGAGTACCAAATAAGAAAAATAACCATATCATTCTCTTAATTTGATTCTAGAAGTTTGCCAAATCATCATGATGAGATGTCATTATTTGAATGTAAACCCATGCCACCACTAAATCTAGAATCTAGATTTGCTCAATTATTCTTTACTTTGGCCATCAACTGCTGAGAAACAACACAACCAAATCCCATTATATAAATCAAACTTCCTTCCAAATTTCTATACACAAATCAACTTTCTTACAATACCTCATCTTCTAATTATTCTCTCTACAATATTTTTTTTTTCCATGGCTAATTCAAATGACAACAACAATGAGGTTGTCACTCAAATGGATTGTTGGTATAGAATCTATAAGAATGGTCGAGTCGAACGTTTATATGACACAAATAACTTATTAACATACGTACCCCCATCACTTGAAGATCCAATCACTGGTGTCTCTTCTAAAGATGTTACAATTTCACCACATGTTTCTGCTAGACTCTACCTTCCAAAAAACACAAACAATTCTACCCAAAAACTTCCCATTATAGTGTATTACCATGGTGGTGCATTAGTTCTTGGATCCGCTTTCTTTAACGCGTATCAACGTTATCTCAATGTTTTGGTTTCTGAATCGAACGCAATCGCAATTTCAGTAGAGTATCGGTTAGCCCCTGAACATGACGTGACTACAATTTACGAAGATTCTTGGACCGCACTTCAATGGGTCGCGTCGCATGCTAATGAAAAAAAATTCACTAGTGGTAATGAAGATCCGTGGATAAAAAACTATGGAGATTTTAGTAGATTGTCTGTAATTGGAGACAGTGCTGGTGGGAATATAGTTTATCATATGGCGATGAGAGCAGGAAGAGAAGGTGGTATTAATGAAAAGGTAGCTATTAATGGTTCGATTTTTGTTTGTCCTTACCTTTTGGTTCCACTTGAGAACATTGAACAAAATGTATCGTACAAGAATTGGATTGTTATTAGTTCACCATCAGAAGCTGGGCTTCATAGTCCAATGATTAATCCACTTGCTGAGAATGCTCCTAGTTTGTCTCAGTTAGGTTGTTCTAGGATGTTGTTGTGTTTTGCGGAGAAAGATGAATATATTCCAAAAGAAATTGGGGTTCGATTCGTTGAAGGTGTAAAGAAAAGTGGTTGGAAAGGGGATTTAGAGTTGATTGAAGTTGAAGATGAAGGCCATTGCTTTCAACTAGCTAATCCTGAAACTGAGAAATCTCAAAATTTGATCAAGCGTTTTGCTGCTTTCATCCAACTTAAGTGATGATTAGGATTAATAATGCTACATTAGATCATATCTTAAGCTTTCAATGATTCTCTTTATCTTTATTTTTTCATGATGAGATGTCATTTTCGATTGTTTTAATTTAACGTCCAAAAGTACGAGTAAAAGCAATGCAAAAATATTAATATTATTTTATATTTCGTTTGATTTTATTGTCACCTTTATATTTTTGTTTCTGAATCAAACACAATTTTGATTTCACTAGGGTACAAGCTGCGAACAATTCACCATTGCTAAGCATTGTGATTTGTGAATCTTCAACCATAATAAATAAGATAACATAAAAAGACCTATAATAAAAGAAGCATAATATTTAAAACTTGTGGTCTAAAATATTCTTTCAGCATTGAAGTTAAATTGTACCGGCCATATTTAAAATTTGTTCAAATTATTTAAAGTTAAATTGTTTCTAATTAGTATAAAAAAGTTATTCCTTTATTCTATACAAACTATATAAAAAAAAACGTATCACATCAATTAAGACAAAAGATTACTTTTTTTGAATACTACGGGTGCACCAATATTATGAGTTGATGAAAATAATAAAATGTGATTTTACCTTAAATCAAACCGCAGTCACATGAGTGGTCGCGCTCACTTGTACCGGCCATACTAATTGCCTTTTGTGCTTTTCATGAGGGCTAGGGATGGCAAGGGGACGGGAACTGTGGGATGGAACGAAGGGGGACGGGACAGGAGGGGGACGCCCTTGGTCGGGATTTGGCCGGGACCGGGATTGGCGGGACAAAAATACGTCCCATCCTGTCCTACTATATATATGGGATGGGACGGTGTTTGGCGGGACGGGACGGGACGGGATGTGGGATTTTTTATTTTTTATATGTTTATTTATTTGTATTGAAATTATATGTTATTGAATAACATTTTTAATTTATTTGATTTTCAATAATATTTTTAGCTAATAAAAAATGCTTAAAGTTTTAAAATTTCAAATTTCAAATTTAAACTTTCAAATTTCAAACATTAAAGTTCAAATTTGTATTTTAAATATTTTCAAGTAATTTAAACTTGAAATTTCAATTTTTAAATTAAGTATTTTAAAGTAAGTTTAGTATATATGTAAATATGTATGTATATATTAAAATTAAAATGCAAGACAATAGTTGTATAAAAAAGACTTGAATAAAGCCTTTAAATTTAGGATAAATTACTTATATACACAACTTTACTTACCTTATTCTCCATTTTTCCCTATCTTTTTGAAATGTTTCATAAAGCCCTTATTTCTCCCAATTCTTAAAACTTTTAGATACATAAGATCCATTAGCCAAAACCCACGTTTACTACTCCCCTTTTCAGTCCTCTTTTCTCTCCCTAAATTCACTCCACATTCTTAGCAGTTACAATATTCAAATAAATTTGATTTTCAAAAGGATTCTCTCTCTCAAGTCAATCAATTTCAAACATGTGAATAGGTAGGGTTTTGTCTTCTCCATTGTTGTTTTCTTCCATTTTTTTCCAGATATTTTTCCTAATACATATGGGACAGGCCCCTTCATTTAGTATTGGGGTTACTCAACTTGGGGTCCATCTCGTCCTCTTCCAAAATGTCGGTGCTGGTAGACTTGCTCTGACAATGTATTGGCAAGGTTTTTATTGTGCATTCAATAGACTACCACAAATGCAGCAACAATTTGATACATTATCGATATGTTGAGAAGAAGAAGGAGAAGCAGATCAGATTGTTGGGTTTTTTTCGATTTTTTCTTATTCATCTTTTTTTGATAAATATGGATTCAGATTTTTAATGTATCTAGTAATTTTTATTTTCTTAGATTAATGTATAATGCTTTCTTTTCACTACTATGATACATTACAATTTCAGCATTCTCAATATACCGTGTTCAAATTGTATAATCTACCATATATCAATTGTTGTTATGTATCTGTAGTGTTTAATTTTTGTTCAGACTTATTTAAATTAGAAGATTATGTGCATGTACACATTACTCAATAAATACACTTGATACATAAATCCTATTATTCTATAGATAAAGCACCGTGTATCAAATTAATTGATAAGATATGATTAGGGTCTTACACTATGGAATTTAGGTAAATTATACTAATTTTATTCATTATTTGAGGAGTTGTTGTAATTTTCTGAAATTATTGATACACAAATAATGTTCAATAGTAGCGGACATTTTTGTATCATGTGTGGAGTTGTTGTAATTATGTGAAGTTATTGATATAAATATAATGTTCATTGTTGTATCATTCAAAACTTGCACTATTAGAGTGTGTATCAGATACACAAAATTTACTAAAATGTATCAAATACACACATATGATACATTGCAAGTTACTAATTTAACTGTAATCCATTGTTTGTATCATGTTTAAGTGTTGGACAATTTTTGTATCATGTTCAACTAGTGGGCATTTAGTATTAAATATAAATATCTGTCAGATTTTATAGATCATCAATTTGTATTGAGCATTAGTTACTCTATTTTATCATTATGTATCAACTAAACATTAAGATACTTTGTAGTTACAATTATGTATCATATGATTAACTTGACATGTTTCCCATGATGATTTACTTTTTGTAGTTGCTTTTGCTGAGTTCCTTAGTAACGAAATCAACATCCCATCAAATGGTTTTCGAGCTGATTATCTTCGCACAAGATATGAAGCATTATTATGGAGATATGGTACTGAAAAGGCTAAGTCACGCTATTTTAGCGATAAAAATGATTCTCCAAAGCTCAAGGGTCTCTTTACTCCACCGCAACAAGATGTTTGGTTAATGTCGAATAGTAATTATGTATTAATGAATAGACACCCTTTGATGTTTTGTTTCTTTTTTTTTTGTTAAAGACAATCTTATTTAAGTTTTAGAATGTTACTCTAAAAATTGTTTCATATTATGTCTGAATTTGAATATATTTGTTCTTAATTATATCATGTAAATTCTTATAATTTGTGTTTTAATTATAGTGATCTTGATACACAACACATCATCTGATACTTAAAACATTCACATTATATAATTAGATGTCATAAAGATAAATATCAGATTCATAACTCTTTTGATTCAAATATCATTATAAAGAACTCATTAGTTATGACATAATGTATATGATACAATAGATATGAGTCACAACAATGTATATATATAGTAAACACTTATGTATCATATACACATAAACTCTTTATTAGAATGTGATACATTCAAATTTAATTTTTTTAAACACAACATGTCACAAATTATTTATGAGATAAACCATTGGCACATAAAGTTGAAAAAGATGTATCATCCACATTTTTTCTTGATTACTACAAGTACTTTATACCTCTTAATTGATATATTATTAATATTATCTACCAGATACACAATATTAACCTGATACATTTTATACAAATCAGTCATATAAATACGTTTGTTATATAAATGTATCTGATACAACTCAATTGTTAATCTCTTTGTTACATGTATCATATACAATTAGATACAAAATAATAATCACATCATAACTCACGAAATTATTATACACACTCTTCATTTACTACTAATGTATCATGACTTACATATCCATATCAGGAGTTTTAGTATTTTTCCTGAACCTTCGACACACATAATTTCTCCAGATGTAGAAACAACGTAATGTATCTGATTTCCAAGTAAGGTATCCAACCTCATGTTTCTTTATCTCGACGTACAACCTTACTCCCATATCATTCCTAATAATCAATGGAGAAGAATTGCCTTATACCATGTATCGGATCTCAAAATTTTTTCTTAATGCATCAATAGTCAATTCTGTCGCAATAGCTGAAATTAAGTTGATGAATGAAATATTTTTACCAACGACGATTTCTTCACTTTTGTATCATTCATAACTAACCTCGTTATTCCCAGATTTCTGAATGCCTCAGCAAAATCGAAATATTCATTATGTATTTTATGAAATTATCGTCTACTGAATGAACTACTACAACAACAATCATCATATAATACTTGTAATCTTGTTTTCATAGTGTCGAGTGGCATTGTCAGTAATGCAGACACTCCATTAGCTATAGCTGCACTCAACCCTTGAACTGCAAATATTACCTTCCCATTTTGCCTATAACCACCCTTATCGTCTTTCTTGAAGAAAAAACAAAACAAATCTAGATAGATATTAATCCATTTTTTTTTACAGTTAACGGATGCAGGTGCATCCCAATTTACACGTGGGTCGGTCTCTAGTTCGACTACATGATGGCAGGAGCGGAGCTACAGTGTTAAATGGGGGTTTGGACGAACCCACCGACTTTTACGTAGATCCTACATACGTACTAAAAACTATGTACAAATATATTTAAATTTTGCGTCCGAACCCACATCACAGTAAGGTGGATGGCGCAGTGGTAAGCGCGCACAACACTGATTATTTGGATGGGGTTCGAGCCCCAAATGTGTTTTGTGTCTATCTTCTACTCTCCTTTAATTCAATTTTTCCTATATAGATTTTTATAAATTCTTTTCCAAATAATAAAACAGAAAATTGATAATTAAAAATAATAAAAAAGTAGTGTCATACTCCAAAACAACATCTAACTATTAATCTCAAAGAAAATTGCAAGTAACCAAAATATTGTATCATACTCTAAAACAACATCTCACTATATTGATTTCTTTTGAAGCATTCAATAAAATGTTAAACCCAAAATTTAATTTTTTTTAAAGTTAGGGTTCTAATATTTACTATCGACTTCATTGCTACTGCTTGTTGTCAAAGTGCAGACCTCTGCCCCGGTAAGTACTATTTACTCTTCTCAGGTCCTCCTCGGCTCTACCTTTTCTCTTTTTTAATTTGTCTTTACATTGTATAACAATTTATTCAAAGATCTTATTTTTAATCTTTGTTTTTTAGACTGTTCCACGTATTAATAATTGATCATATTAATTAAGTTATTGTTTGCTTCTCGGAACTTTAACTTTCAAGGCAAGGGCGACTCAAGGG